CAGGGGCAGTGGTATTACAGGGGGATGGCTGGAGTGAAGAAGGGGTAAGAGCTGTAATTATATTGTAATTTCAAAAATTAAAAAATATTTTCACACAATAAAAATATTGTACTACAGAGTTTTAACAAGGGACATGGGAGAAGGAAAAGAAATAATGGACACTTACAAGATAGGCAGATATGGCAATATGGTGGGACAAGGACCTGTCAGTGCTGAGCCCATGGCAGAAGCACCATGAACTATTTATCCATGGAAAGTAGCGTCACAGGAGCAAAGGAAAATAGCTGAGAGATCACAGTTCCTGGTACATCAAAGAAATAAGAAAAAGGACATTGTGAAGGTAACATATTTGCATTCTGAGCATCACTTATCCCATAGCCCCAGGCACCACATTATGGAGAGAGAAAACAATTATTTGTCAAAGTCGAGAGCACTAACTGTCAGACTTTATATAGGAAATGACCCCAGGGAAAGCCCAGTAAGATCTGGAAGTAGACCTATCTCATGGCCTCGGAATCTAGATTTTATTCGTATACTAAGCCCACAACACCATTTCACACCAAGCCTCATCTTATAGTTCCAGGTTCTAGATTTACCATCATGTTGGTCTCTGGGCAGTCATTCTTCACAGGCAACTCCAGAACCCCTAAGCTCAGTGCCCTAGAAGTCTTAGTTGTCAGGCCATCCACAATATTAGGACAGAATCACATACTCTTGTTTCAGTCTCTTGCAGGCCCAGGCCATTTGTAGTGGATGTACCGACATACTGTTTTGTTCTTTGGACCTGCAAAGGCCTGACTTATTTCCAGGTTGAATCCTACATCTGAATCATCAAGCAGGTACCTGGGAACCCAGAGTCTGGCCAGATCCAGAGGTTACAAATTCTAGATCAATTCAGCACCAAGTCAGGTTTGTGACCCTGAGCTCTAGGTCAATCCGAGGTGTCAGTTTGCACAGACCCTAGCTTCAGGCCCACCCCTAATGCTAGGCTTATTTCCCTGGCCCTAGACACAAACATGCAAAAATTAATTGACAGTGGGTAAAAGATGGAATTGGAAATAAAATTTTAAAATGCATTGAAAATAAAAAAAATATAGCTTATCCCCATTTGTGGCATTCAGGGGGTAAACTAATAACTGTAAGTAACCATATTTTAAAAGTGGACAACTTAATAATGAGTATGCAAACAAATGATACACCATTTGAAACAAAGCATAAAAATATACATTTCCTTTCTTTCTTTTTTTGGTTTGTTGAGACAGGGTTTCTCTGTGTAGCTTTGGAGCCTATCCTGGCACTTGCTCTGGAGACCATGCTGGCCTCGACCTCACAGAGATCCGCCTGCCTCTGCCTCCCGAGTGCTGGGATTAAAGGCATGCACCACCAACGCCTGGCCATTTTCTACTTTTAAAGATCTATTTTTAAATTTTCTCTCACTTCTGATAAAATAATAAATGCATTTGTACATTTTTTAAAAAGTCAAGATTTCCAGCTTTTGAAAGTATGCCTGCCTGTAATCCCAACACTTGGAAGGTAAAGGCAGGAGGATCAGGAATTTAAGACTACCTTTTGCTACTTAGTGAGTATGAGGCCATTCTTGGCTAATTGAAACCCTGATAAGAGGAGTGCATGTGGCAGATTGGTATCTCCAAATCAAAAACTCTAAAACTAAAAGATGAAAAATAATAAGCTGAGCTTGAAAACTAGCCCAAAGGGGAAAAAAACCCACCATAACAGAGATACATAAAATAGACAGCAAAAATAAAAGCAAACACAGAAGTAGATCCCATCCCTTCAGATATCAACAAATGGATGTGCTTTTCTTAGGGTAAAGCACAGACTCTGAGGGTTAAAGGTTCCTGGGAGACCTTGTGGTAAACAAGGCTCAAGGGTTACCTTGGCATTAGGGAAGAGAGACCTTTTTGCTCCTGGAGGAGATGCCAGGCACCTGCAACTAGTAGTGAAATCTGGACACACACATTTAAAATCTAGACAATGTGTTCGGGAGAAAACATGTATACATGTACTATACTAAACATAGTACCTTATTAATATATAGTTTTTCGCATTTGTGTAAGGTGAGAATACATTTTTTTAAAAAAGAAAGATAGCCATCTGTCCTCTGACACACAATCCCACAATGTAAAAACAAACCCTCAAAACTGAGGTCACTTCTGTCCCGGGAGCAAGAGAGTCCACAATTACAAATTTGACCTCAGCTTTTTGGTGCTCTTATTTGAAATTAGATCCCTTGAATGGACCCCCCTCCAACCACTGTCAATAGCATGCACCCACACTGCAGAGACAAGCCCTTCTGTTAGAGTCCCCTGGAGACCACTCTACAGAGACGTTTGCCCCCCACAGGCCTCCTGCAGCCTCCTGACCTGTGTGCCTCTCCTGCCGTGTACAACTACCAGCAGGACTCCACCCTGTGTGGCTTCTGTGGCAGAGCTGGTGGAGGTGGAGGGCGAGACTGTATTGCAAATCCTTTGCAGCAGCTCTGGTATCTCCTGTGAGAGGCCACGGATCAGCGCCACAGGGTTTGCCGTGATGGACATGCGCAATTTTAATACCGTTAAAGGGTCCAAATGGACATTCCCTTTTGGGTGTAAAGTTTGGGGATTGTTAGTAACATATAGACGTGTTTTCTCATGTTAAAAGCTTGTGTCCCTCCTAGTACAAGATGTCCTTAGAGGACTTGGGGAGATATGCCAAAAGAATCTGGTACACGGAAACAACATACAGAAATTCTATTGCCATGGAAGAATGAAAAGAACTTTAAGGCCCTAGAAACACTAGAATTGTGAAGATCCTGATCATTCATTGGGTAGGAGAGACATGTGGAGGCTCATTTCTCACCCAATGAGCTTAACATTCTCATGGAGGATCACAAGCCATGATAGGAACCTTTGGAAGTTCCGCTCAAGGCTCTAGCGTAACATTTGACTTCCTGCTTTGTACCATCTACGTCTACGTGAGAGTCTGACAACATGAAACCAGACCTGGGCCATTGTGGTTCAGATGGTGAAGATGATGGAAATACATGCCATTCGTTCGACCAGTACTCCATGGAAGAAATTCAGATGTGTTTGGAGTGTTTGGTCCTCTTTGCTGCCACAGCAGGTTTTCTGGCGTTCCAGTTAGTCACAAACGCCATTTTTGAGGAGGAGTATGAGAGAGATGTGGCCTGGATAGCTAAGCAAAGCAGGAGTATGTCCAGTATCGATGACGAGGATGACTACAAGGAGGACATGGAATTTGAAGACTCCGAGGATGAGGACCAGGAAGAACTGCAGGACCAGATGGAGGAAGCAGAGGAGGACGAGGCAGAAGATGAGATGAAAATGGAAGCTGGAGCTGCTATCAGTCCTATCAGTCTCGATGACTTGACAGCCTGTACCTGTAAGTCACCCATGGTCTTTACTCTAGATTCAGGTTGAGTGTATTCTTAACCTCGTCCATAGTAAAGACTGCCTCATAGCTGGGCTCATTCCTTAGTACCATTCCTGTCTCTCATCCCCTCCTCCTTGCCACTCTCCTACCATCCCCCTCCTCCAATTCCTCATCCTTTTCCCCTTCAGATCCCCTTTCCTCTCCCTTTGCTACTTTCTGTCCCTGCTCCCCATTTTCCTAATTTCCACTCCCTGTTCCCATCCCCCCTCCATGTTCCCCTTTTTGCTCCCTCCCCCTCCCTAGTTCCATTTTAGCTTTTTCTCTCTACTGCCATCTCCTCTTTGTTCCCCATTTTGCAAATTTCTTCCCCCTTTCCCTGCTCCCCCTTTTGTGTCTTCTCCCTGCTCCAATCCCTTTTAGCCCCTTTTCTCCCCCTGCTCCACTCCCCCTCCCTATTCCTGTTTTCATGCCTTGCCTGTTCCCCTTTGTGTGCCTTTCCTCTCCTTCCCCTCTCCCTATGTGCCCCCCTTGTTGAGCCCCTTTCTTCTTCTTGCTCACATCCCCCTCCCTGTTTCACTTTTTTAGCACCTTTCCTCCCCAGCTCCCCCTACACTTCCTACTTCCTTTTTTATAACTCTCCTCTCCCTACTTCCCTCTCCCTCCCTTCTCCCCTTTTGCCGTCCCCCCAGTTCACCCTCCCTGCTTCCCCCTTTATACCCTTTGCCTAGCTCCCCTCCCTTCTCCCCTTTTGCTATGTTTACTATCAGCCAGAAAGCGTGACTCCACCCCTTGAGCACCTGGCAGAGTGCACCACCCCCGTAGCACACAGGATTTGTAGCAAGTGCTAAAGAGGCAAGCTCCGCCCACTCTTGCTTTCTCTCTGTTTCTCTGAAGAAACAAAACTCTCTCTCTGTCTTTGTCTCTCTCTTTCTCTCTCTCCTCTCTTTCCTTCTCTTACTCTCTTCCCTTTCTGAATAAAGCTTCCCAATTAACCTCTGTCTGTCAGAGGTTTGTCCACCCATGGGATCCTCCAAGATCCAACCATCAGAACAGATATCATTACAGTGCCTTCTCTCTACTCTGGCGCCTCCTTGCTCCTTTTTTGCACTTTTCCTCCCCAGCTCCCCCTCCATAATTCTCTACCTGCCTTTTCTGCATTTCCTCTCCCTGCTCCGCTCCCCAGCTGCTCACCTTTAGCTATGTCCTTCCTCCGGCTCCTTAGTCCCTGCTTCTGTTTTCATGTGGCACTTCTACATGCTCCTGTCCCCATCCCTGCTCTGCTTTTGGCCCCATTTGCCTCACCAGCACGCACCCCCTCAAAGCTACACATTTTGTCCCTTTCCTCCCCAGCACCCAGGACCCTACATGCTCCCCTATCTCCTCTTCAGCCCAAAACACCCAAGACCCTCCTTGCACCCATTTTCCCCTTTCCTGTGCAGCAAGCATCACCCTCCGGGTCCCATTTTTGCCCCTTTCCTTGCCAATACCCATTACCATTCCTGATGCACTTTTTGTTCCTTTCTTCCACAACACTGAGCACCATCCTTGTTCCCCTTTTTGCCCCTTTCCTTCCTAGCACCCATCACCGTCTCTGCCACCCTTTTTGACACTTCCCTCCCCATCACCCAGCATCCTTCCTGCACCCCTTTTTGCCCCTTTCTCCCCATCACCAAGAACCCTGTCTCCTCCCATGGTTCCCCTTTCCTCCCCAGCATCCAGCACTGTCCTGTTCCCTGTTTTTCCCCTTTTCCTCCTCAGGACCCAGCACCATCACAGATACCCTTTTTGCCCCTTTCTTCCCAGCACATATCTCCCTTTCCACTCCCAATTTAACCATCTCCTCCTCAACACACATCATGCTCCCTGCTCCCCCTTTTTTAACCCCTTTCTACCCAGATACTATCCCCCTTCCTGCTCCCAATTTTGAGCCTATCCTCCCCACCATGATCACCCACACTGCTCCCCTTTTAGCCCTGCCCCAACTTCCCTGTCACTCAGCACTGTCCCTGCTCTCCTTTTGGCCCTGATCCTCCCAGAATCTATACCCCTGCCTGCTGCCTTTTTGCCCCTTTTCTCCCTCAGAATCCATCCCCATCTTCTTCACCATTTGTGCCTTTCCTCTTCCTGGTCCCCTTTTCCTGCCTTCTCCCAGACCCCATTCCCCTCCCTGCTCCCCTTTTGGCCTTTTCCTTCCTCTCACCCTGCTCCCTATCTGCCTCTCTGCTCCCATTTTTTTTTTTTTTTTTTTTTTTTTTTTTTTTTTGAAAGGGGTTTTTTTTGTTTTTTTTTTTTTTTTAGTTTTTCGAGACAGGGTTTCTCTGTGTAGCTTTGGAGCCTATCCTGGCACTCGCTCTGGAGACCAGGCTGGCCTTGAACTCAGAGAGATTCACCTGCCTCTGCCTCCTGAGTGCTGGGATTAAACGCCCAGCTTGCTGCTCCCATTTTTACTCTGCTCTTCCCCAACACCCAGGAGCCTCAATTAGCACTTTTTGAACCTGTCCTCCCCACAGAACATCACCCTCCCTAGTCCCATTGTCCCATCTACTCCCCCAGCCACAATCACCCTCCCCTCTGTCCTTTTTGCCCCTTTCCTCCCCAGCACCTAGCACCCTCCCTGCTCCACTTTTACCCATAAGTCCCCATCACCCAGCACCCTCCATGCACACATTTTGCCCATTCCCTGCCCAACACCCAGCAGGCTACCTGCTTGCCTTAGTCCTGCTGTCCTCCCCATCAGCCATCAGCCATCAGCACACCCTGCCCCCTTTTTGCTCCTTTCCTCCACTACATCATTCATGCCACCTGCTCCCCTTTTTGCCCCATTCCTCCCCATCACCCAGAACTCTCCTGGCTCCCATTTGCCCCTGTCCTCCCCAACACCATGCCAGACCCCCTTTTTGCCCCTTCCTGCACAGAACCCTCCCTGCTCCCGTTTTTGCCCCTTTCTTCCCCAGCAGCCAGCAAACTCCCTGCTCCCCTATTTGCCCCTTTCTTCCCCACCACACACTACACACCCTGCTCCTGTTTTTGCCCCTTTCCTCCAGCGGGTACCAGACCCAGCCCTGCTTCCATTATTGCCCCTTTCTTCCACACCATCCTTCATGCTGATTGCTCCCGTTTTTGCCACTTTCCTCACCATCTCCCAGGACTCTCACTGCTACACCTTTTTCCCCATTGCTTCCCATCTCACAGCACTGTCCCTGCTCCCCCTTCTTTCCCCTTTTGTCCCCATCACCCAGCGATCTCCCTACTCCCCTTTTTCTGCTTTCCTCCCCATCAACCAGCACCCTCCCCGATCCCCGTTTTTGACCCTTTCTTCCCCAGCAGCCAGCAAACTACCTGTTGCCCTATTTGCCCCTTTCCTCCTCACCACACACTACACACCCTGCTCCTGTTTTTGCCCCTTTCCTCCAGCGGGTACCAGACCCAGCCCTGCTTCCATTTTTGCCCCTTTCTTCCACATCATCCTTCATGCTGATTGCTCCCTTTTTGCCCCTTTCCTCCCCATCACCCAGCACTCTCCCTGCTACCACTTTTCCTCTTTCCTCCCCATCACCCAGCACTCTCCCTAATATCCTTTTTGCCCCTTTTTTCCCCAACACCCAGCAAACTCCCTGTTGCCATATTTGCCCCTTTTCTCCCCACTACACACTACACACCGTGCTACTGTTTTTGCCCCTTTCCTCCAGCGGGTACCATACCAAGCCCTGCTTCTATTTTTGCCCCTTTCTTCCACATCATCCTTTATGTTGCCTGCTCCCATTTTTGCCACTTTCCTCCCCATCACCCAGCACACTCCCTGCTCCCCCTTTTTCCTTATTCCTCCCCATCAACCAGCACCCTCCCTGCTCCCCATTTATCCCCTTTCCTCCCCATCACCCAGCACCCTCCCTGCTGCCCTTTTTTCCCCCATTCCTTCCCATCACCCAGCACTCTCCCTGCTCCCCCTGGTAGAGGAAGCTGTAGCTACGCCTACTTAGGGGCTGGCTACAGGTGTGCCTGACCATGCTTGAGAGGGCGTGGTCAGGGTGATGTAGAGCCAGACTTGAAGGGGACTGAGTTCTCTCTTTCGATGTCTCCTTTGGTACTTGGGTACAGACTGCTGCCGCGCTGGCTGGCTACATCGCTCTGTAAGTAAGGCTTTTCCCTATTAAAAACCCTTATATTTCTACCTGACTCTGTATTGGTAATTTCCCACTATACTTCCTTTTTCCCCATTCCTCCCCATCACCCAGGACCCTCCCTGCTCCCCCTCTTCCCCTTTCCTTCCCATCACCCAGCACCCTCCCTGCTCCCCTATTCCCACCTTTCCTCCCCACCACACACAACACCCCCTGCTCCTGTTTTTGCCCCTTTCCTCCAGCGGGTACCAGACCCAGCCCTGCTTCCATTTTTGCCCCTTTCTTCCACATGATCCTTCATGCTGATTGCTCCCGTTTTTGCCCCTTTCCTCCCCATCACCCAGCACTCTCACTGCTCGCCCCACTTTCCCCATTCCTCCCCTTCAACCAGCACTGTCCCTGCTCCCCCTTTTCCCCCTTTCCTACCCTTCACCCAGCATTCTCCCTGCTTCCCCTTTTTCCCGTTTCCTACCCATCACCCAGGACTCTCCTTGCTCCCATTTTGCCCCTGTGGTCTTAATCACCATGCAAGACCCCCTTTTTGGCCCATCCTCCCCAGCACCCTCCCTGGTACCCTTTTTACCCCTTTCTTCCCCATTCCCCCAGTACCCTCCCTGATCCCCATCTTGGCCCTTTCCTCCCCATCACCCAGCACCCAACATACCCCCCTGTTGCCCTTTCCTCCCCATCACCCACCATTTTTCCTGCTGTCCTTTTTGCCCCTTTCCTCACCCAGCTCCCAGGACCCACCCTGCTCCACTTTTTGCTCCTTTCCTGCTGATCACCCAGCACCCTCTAGGCACACATTTTACCCATTCCTTGCCCATCACAGAGCAGGCTTCCTGCTAGCCTTACTCCTGCTGTCCTCCCCATCAGCCATCACACTTTGTCCCTTTCACTATCTCAGCCTTCAGGTTCCCTGCTCCCCTTTCTGTCCTTTTCCTCCATAGAACACTCCCTTCTCCCCTTTGCCCCGTTTCTCCCAAGTACCCAGCACCTTCCCTGCTCTTATTTTTGCTTCTTTCTTTCCCCACATCAATCACCCTCCCCACTCCCCTTTTGGCCCCTTCCTCCCCCAGTTATGTCCTTCTCTCTGCTCCCCTTTTTTTTGCCCCTCTTCCCCATCACCTAACCCTCCCCCAGCACCCATCACTGTTGCTGTTCCCTTTTTGCCCCTTTCCTCCCCATCATCCAGCACCCCTTTGCTCCAATTTGGTCCCTTTCCTGCCCATCACCGAGCACACCCTACCTGCTCCCTTTTTGCCACTTTACTTCTCAGCACCCATCATCTTCCCTTCTCCGATTTTTGCCCCTTTCTTCCCCCAAATACCATCCTACTCCCTGCTCCCATTTTTGTCCCTTTCAGGCCCATCTTACAGAACCCACTCTGCTCCCTTTTAGCCCCCATCCTCCCCACCACCATCACTAACATTGCTCCCCTTTTAGCCCTGTTCCTCCACCACAAACCATCCCCTCCCTGCTGCATGTTTTGCCCCCTTCCTCCTCAACACCCAGCACCCGCCCTGCTCCCCTTTATGCCCCTGTCCTCCTCATTAATTACCCAGCACCTTCCCTATTCCTATTTTGCCTTTTTCTTCTACTTGCCTGGCACCATCCCTGCCGTGCCCATCATACAGCACCCCCTGCTCCTGCTTTTGCACCTTCCCCACCCCCAGGTACCAGAGCCGTCTCTGCTCCCTAGTTTGCCCCTTTCTTCCACACCATCCTTCATGCTCCGTGCTGCCATTTTTCCCCATTCCTCCCCATGACCCAGCACTCTCTGTCTTCCCTGTTCCCCCTTTCCTATCCATTTGACAGCATCCAAGCTGCTCCCCTTTTTGCCTTTTCCTCCCCAGTACCCAGCACTCCTCTGCTCCCCATTTGGCCCCTTGTCCTGTCCATTACCAGCACCCTCCCTGCTGCCCTTTTCACCCCTGTGTGTTCAGGACCCAACACCCTCCCTGTCCCCCTTTTTGCCCCTGTCCTCCCCATGATCCAGCAAGCTCCCTGTTCCCCTTTTACTAGTTTCTTCTCCCTACTCCCTCATCCTGCTCTCCCCTCCCCTTTACATACCTGCTCCCCTCTCTTCACTGCTTCTTCTACCTTTCCTCCCCCTGCTCCCCATCCTTTTCCTGCTCCCCATTTCTTACCTTTCCTTTGGGCTGGCTCCCGTCTACCTGTGTGTCCTCCTTTCTACTCTTTTGCTCTGTCTGTTCCCCTCCCCTTTCCAAGCCGCTGCTCTCCAGAGTCCCATCCCCTCCCCCTTTTGAGCCTTTCTGCTTTATGACCCCTGCCCCTCCCTGCCCCCTTTTGAGCCTTTCTGCTCTATGACCCCTGCCCCTCCCTGCCCCCTTTTGATCTCTCTCTATCCCTGCACCTCCTTCATGCCTTTCCTTTCCACCTTTTGTTTCTTCCTTTTCTCCCCTCCCCTCCCCTCCTCTCAGCTTCCCTACCAGCTTACTGCTTCCGTCCTCATCTCCTCTGTCCTTCACCCCTTTCTCTCTCTCTCTTCCCCTCCCCCTTCACTTCACTACCTCCCTCATTTCTTCTCCATCCTTCCTCCTGCTCCAGTGTCTTCCCTCCCTGTGTCCTCTGCCAATCAATCCACCTGGCTGCCCTCTCCCTGTTTCTTTCCTTGCCCCCTTCTGGTGCTTCCTTCCTGTCTCTGCTCACTCTCTCCCCTTCCCCAGCCCAGTCTATCGCCCCCTCCTCCTTTCCCTCTTTCTATCCCTCTTCCACCTTCTCCTTCCATGCTCTCTACTTCCTGTCTCTCCCCTGACCTACACCCCTTCCTCCCACCTTTCTGTCTTCTCTCTTGTTCCTGCCTGATCCCCCACTTCTTACCACTACCACTTTCTTATATCTCCATTTCTTTGATGCCTCTTCTCTCCTATCCTCTGTCCTTCAGCCCTCTCCTTCCTTCCTTTCTTCACTCTCTTCTCCCCCTCCCTGATATGCTGCTTCCCTCTCCCTCTCTGCTACTATTTGCTGCTTCTCCTCTTCAATGATCCCCTCCTCTTCACCCCTCTGACTTCCGTTACTTCTTCCTTTCCTCTCATTATTCGCCCCCACCTCCCCCTTCTTCTCCCCCTCCCTTCATCCTTTCCATCCCCTTACCCTGTCCATCAGTCATCTCGTCCCCTCCCCTTCCCCTCCCTGTTTCCCCTTCCTGTCTCTTCCCCCTCTTCCTTTTCCCCTCTTTGCTCTTCCAGCTCCCTGCTTCCCATAGCCATTGCCTTTACCTCTTTCTGTCCCTGATGTCTTCACCTCCTTCTTTACTATTCTCCTGCTATCTCTCCTCTCCTCCTTTCCCTCCCCCACTTTCCTCCACTCTCTGATCTCTCTTGCCATCTCTCTCTCACACTTCCCTTCTGTCACCCATTTCCCTTCTGTTCCCTTCTCTTCTGTGCATGTTCACCTTTCAACTCCACCCTTCCCTGTCCCCTCTCCTCTTCCCTTTTCTTCATCCCCTTTCTTCTTTGTCTTATCCTGTCCCAGTCCCCCCTATATTCATCCACAACCCCTTTCCTCTCTTTCTTGTGCCTTCTCTTCTTCTTCTTCTTCTTCTTCTTCTTCTTCTTCTTCTTCTTCTTCTTCTTCTTCTTCTTCTATCACCCTTCCTCCTCTACCTCCCCTTCCCCTTCCATCTCATCCCTGTTCCCCTCCCCTCTCCCCAGCCTCTCTCTTCTCTAAGGCCTCTCCTTCTCTTTGCCCCTAGTCCTTTTGCCTTTAAAAGGAGGTCCCACTGGGAAGGCAAGGAACAAAGCCCAATTGCAAAAGGCAGAAGAGGCCAAATGCAGTTGAGGCCAGATAACTGGGGCTAGTGTAGCCCTAAGTAACAAGGAATGACAAAAGTGGTACTGAAGTTCTTGGTTCTTGCTGCTGCTTTTGACTAGGTTGGCACATCTTTCTCAAATGCTCACCATGCTGATAGCTTATCCAACCTGGTTGAGTAATGGTAGAGTCTGTAAACTCTGGGCCAGTGGTTTGTTTTTAGGGCAAATTTGTTGGTGATATTCTGCTAAAAATACAACAAATGCAAACAGACTAGAGATTGTTGATAACTTTCTGTCCCATGGATTATGAATAAGAAGCTATGTATACAGAAAAAAAAAACTGTCACCATGCAGATTTTTTAGGCTGAAGACATGTCAGGAACACAGAAATGTTGCTAAAATACTTTTCTTTTTCTCACATGTTTCTATTGTCCAGTTGTTCCTGACTATAAATTACAGAAGAATGAATTTAAGTGTAAGCTGCTTTATGTCTGCGGTGAGCCTACTCTCCTGGTGTCTGTACCAGTAGAATCTGAGGAGCCAACTGAAAATGCTGAAGAAGCTTCAGGGGAAAAGGAAGAAGATGAAACTGAAGAACTGG